CTACTTTGACAAGCACTGTGGCAATTGGACAATTAAAACAGACATTCGGATGGCGGGGAAGAAGAACAAACTGGGGAGGAGGGTGGAGAGAATGGTGAGGCAATGAAGGAGTGAAAGCCCAGAATCCCTGTGAATGTTCATTGAAACTAATAAAATTTAATAATAAATTAAAAAAAATCAAAACAATATAGCAAGGTAAACATGAACTAATCTTCCACCCTGCTACCCTCCTCTTGCTAATTACTTTTTATAAATCAAAACAGCATAAGATAAACATTGAGTAATCTTATTTCCTCTACTTTTCAATATTTCCTGCTACTTTTCTATAGCTAATTACTTTTATTAATTTTTATAGGATTTTTTGTTTGCATATGATCATTCATGTATATTGTGTTTAATTAAAGTACATAATTTTTTCCTTAGGATAATTTTATTGTACAAAGATAAATACAAAATATAATTGCCCAATTTTTTTCAATTGAGTAATGAGAACTATCATGAGTATAAAAAGATATTATGTACTTTTTGAATACTATGAATATTTGTATGTATTAATATATTTTAATGCTATGAATATGAATACTAAAAGGGATAAAAAGAAATTGTAGTCTAAATACTTAATAGTGAAAATATTTACTGGTATAATTTTCTGTAGTGAAATCTACTCAATTTCGATAGGAGTCAAATACACGGAGGAACATTTTAATTGGAGATAATAGAGAAGCCTTTTCTGTATCTCAACTCATAAAGAAAAGGCACAGCAGTCACCTATTGGCAGATCAGAAGTCTAAGTTAAACATTCTTTCTGTAGTTGCAGCATCAGATGGCACTAAGAAGCAATCATTGAGATCTTAAAATTTGGGCTCTCCATCATTTGTTGTTTTCTAAGACATTACCCTTCCAAAATGAGTGATGTCGGTGTGTCCATCACAGGCTAGTTAGACTTCCCCAGTGTTCTCCAGTCTTTTTATCATCATCATCTTCTTCAGGGCACGAAACGGTATCATCTGGTTCTGGTGATGGGAAAATGCAGGCTGGGAACAGTAAGAGAGAGAGCACATCTTCCTAGGACTGTCTGGCTCCCAGATCTGATCTGTGTGGAACTGCAGGTGAACCCAGCCCAGTGTGTGCAGGGAGAACGGGGATTACATCACCAAAGATTTTTGGCAAAAAGGTCTCAGCTGCAGTAGGAATGCGACATGAATTCACAGCCTTAGGCTGACGTGCTCTTGAAGAAATTCCTGCACAGGATGCCAGTATGGCCTCCCGAGCTGGAGAGACCACTTCAACTATATGGGTCCTTTCCTGTCTCCAGAGTATTACAGCTTTCCTGAAGCCTTGGTCTTTTAGTCTTGCTTTTCCCTAAATGTGAATGCACCTTGGCCTCCTTCAGTGTGACAGGAATATGCTGGTTTTGATTGGGATTAGCTTTTATGTGAACTCTCAGATAAAGCTCTGATTTGAGCATCAGTTCTCAGAGTTAGTTGCTCACACCAGTCATGCAAAGCCTCCCAATGAACCCCAGGAATTCTGGGGTTCTGATGTTCTGTCACTGATCTTCTTCAGTTAGCTGTGACTTGTTAAAATGTTTGAGAACAGACTTTACCGCATTTCCTAGGCTGCTTCAGTTTGACATCTGCAATTGGAGAGACATTTGGGACTGTCTGATCTGCTTTGTTACATTCTTCTTCTATTTTATTTTATTATTATTTTTTTGTTTGTGTACCGTCAAATCAGATCTGACTGGTACAGGAGGAGGACATTGTCCCTCCTTCTCCAGCAGAGCATATGGTACATTCAAACCACGCGCCTCTGGGATTGCAGTGCAGCTTTTCGCCACTAGGCCACCAGAGCTCCCTTACATTCTTCTTTTACGAGGTATAATGTAATAGTTGGATTATCTTCAACGGCTTGCATGCTAAAGGAATTGTTTTTGTCTGTGTCACTACTTGCAGATACCATTTCTTTTTTTTAGAACTTTGTACAGTCAATGATTTATTCATTGCAAATACATTTTATAAGAAACATAAACACAGGCTATACACATGGATTTCATCTGATGGGATGCACAGGAATCAGATCGACTACATCTGTGAAAAGAAGGGAGCTCTGGTGGCCTAGTGGAAAGATGCTGCACTGCAATCCCAGAGGTACAGGGTTCGAATCCACCAGATGCTCTGCTAAAGAAGGAGGGGGCAATCTCCTCCTGTACCAGTCAGATCTGATTTGACGGTACACGTAAAAATAATACAATAAAAAAACAAAACAAAACAAAAAACATCTGTGAAAAGCAGGTCTTTTCACTCTGTTAGAAAAAGTTTTTGATGCACACAGGGATTTAATCTTTAGAAGGCCCCATTCATCAATTTAATCCTCTCCAGATTCTACATTTCTGGCTGGATTTGGTAGTCTCTTTATACCATAGACCAGGGTGTCTAAACTTGATCCCACTTTGTCTCTGATGAACTTTATGGTTTTAGGCTTTAGTCCCTGTCCTCTAATCCAACTCGAGTTGTTTTTTGTGTATGGTGTGAGATGTGGATCCTGTTTCAGTTTTCTGTAGGTAGCATCCAGTTTTGTCAACACCATTTGAAAGGTTTTATTTCCTTGTTGAGTAGCAGATACCATTTCTAAGAACACACAGGGGAAGAGAATGCCAGCAATGTGAAAGTCAGCTGCATTCATTCCTTTTTAGGTACATTATGGTTTATATAATAATTTATGGTATATTGTGTTTTATATAATTACTATTGTTCAATACATTTTTTTTCCTTTTCTATATTTTATTAATTTTCATAAACATTTACAGAGATTTCGGGTTTCCATTCATTCATTGTTGCACTATTCTCTCTACCCTCCTCCCAGTTTGTTCTTGTCCAAATGCCACAGTGCTTGTCAAAGCCAGTTCTGATTAATCTTCTTTGTCAGTGTGTCCTTTGCCATTCCCTATCACTCCTCCCTGAGAGAGACTTCACCCTGAATCATAAGGAAAAGGGGATGGTGTAGTCTCTTAGCTACTTCCTGCTGAAAAGGGACGCTGTGGGTTTCAGGGTGAAGATCTTCTCTCACTACTCTAAAGGGCCCCTTTGGCAGTAGGAAACACATAGACAAAATCAATGGAGATTGATTTTGGAATTTAGATGCACTCTTATTGATTGTGCTTGGCCGTACATGTTCATATCCTTGAAGATGTATCATGGGGGTGTTGCAACCTAGAAGACACAAATTTGACTAACAAGTTATAAGTACATGAGTCCAGAAATTATGGAAAAGTAAAAGAAAAGATTCTTTCATTGTTTTACAAACCCTCCCCCAGGTCCCCTCCACCATGTAGCCCTCGCTCTAGTCTCCTGTGATGACAGAAATACCTAGTTATATATCTCTTTTAAACAGTTTTCTCCCTCCTCTGTTTCAGTGCAGTATACATTATTGAACCCATCTTACTCAGTCTCTCCCCAACCCCAAGGACAGTCCCATTCTACAACAGTGGCATCATGTAATATTTGTCCATTTTTAACACCCTTTCTCATCAATTCCCCATTGCACCTTGTCTGTCCTTTCACCCCCTGTCTGTCCACTAATCCGTGCTGTCCTAGTGATATCCACCCCACCCCCCATATTTTAGGATTTTATGTATCTATCCAATGTGTCTTTATAAAACCAAGTATAAATGCTGCATTTGAGATCCCCTTTATACAAAAGTTTGCATTTTATTTTCTCTCTTACCAGTCCATAGGAAGCATCTTCATCTTTGTGGTGCAAATGGTTAGCATCTGGTGCAAAGTTGGTCAGCACTTAACTACTCCCCAATAGGTCAGAAGTTTGACTCCACCTAGAAAAGTCCTGGAAGAAAATCTCAATGATTTACTTCTCAAAAGTCAGCCAGTGGAAGCTCTATGGGGCACAGTTCTGCTCTGACCTATCGGTTACTGAGAACTGGAGTCAACTTGACAGTCACTGGTAGGAATTAATTATGTGGATGTACCACATTTTGTTTATAAATGAGTGTGTCATTTTTTTTAAGAAAAGAACAAATTGCCATGGCACAGAAAGGGTTGTATAATTTTAGACTCCCAGCAGAAATTTACGAACATATTACTTTCCTCCAAGAATCACTGTACTGTTTAGACCATCAAAATCCTGGTATGTTCAAAATCATTACCGTGTTTACTTAATGTTTGGACCCCGACTTTCACTTTCAGCTTCTTGATTTTAGCTGGAGTGTCCCCATGAGTTTTTGTCTTGATTATATAAGATATTTATCTTTATCTCATTGATAGCAAACTTTAGCTTACTGTCTGGAATAGATTGAAATGCTAGAAAATGAAAGAGGCATAACAATAACTCTCCTATTACAGCCCACTAAAGCCTTCAGTTTCTCTAAAATTCTGAACCCCACATACCTAGACCTCTGTGAACCTCAGTTCACCACATTTTCTCCAAATCCCAGTCCTCCAGGGACCTTGCTTTTCCCAGTTCTATCAGATACTCATTATCCACAATATTCTAGCCCTTTGGAACCACAGCCCACTCCAGCATTTACCTCTCATTTGTTCTGCTGTAACTAATCAGACATTCCCCATCCATTTCCTTTCCTCAAAATGCCTCTCTGGTTTGAACTCTACAGATGCTGAGTAAGGCCAAGTATGGGCCAATCTGGAAAACCTATATAGGACCTCAAACCCACGTGAACCTGGCCAGTCCCCAACTCTTGGAACAAGTGATGCGGCAGGAGGGAAAATACCCAATGCGCAATGACATGGTGCTGTGGAAGGAGCACCGGGACCAGCATGGCCTGTCCTATGGGCCCTTCACCACGTGAGCTGGGACCTGGAGGGATAGGGGCAGGGACTCGGAGGACTAGATCCAGGGGAAATGGGCAGGGCATCCTCTGGGCTTGATGGTTTAGAAAGGGAAGGTTGCGTTGAACAGAAGCCCAGAGACTACACATTGGCTCTTCTATTATGTGACCTTGGACTAATGAAGATCATTTTTCTTTCTTGGTTTTATATCGCTTGTCTATAAAATGAGAGGTTTGGGACAGATTATTTCCAAGGCATATCTTAGGCTCTTTCCAACCCCAGTATTCTACTCTACAGTTGAAACTATACCAATTTAAGTAATAATAGAAATCATCTTCTTCCAGATTGTGTTAGTTGGGAGAGTTCAATTTAATTTTTAAAATTTTTTTGAAAGTATGCACTCTTATTAGATACAGATGCTTTATACACAGATATTGATGTAGGTTTCAGCCTTAAAGTCGTGATTTTGGATTATTTCAACTGTGATAAAGTTGAATGATAACGTGAATACGTTCTTTACCCATGTGCCAACTAATAGATAGTGTATCATTGCAAGTGAACCATTCACAAGGCCATAGATTGTAATTGGATTGTAATGGGCTTCTTTTTTGCTACTGCCTGTTAGTAAACGTCCAAAAGAAATGAATGACTTTCTCCCCCTCAAGTTTCTTGAGATCATGTTTTAGTCACTTCATATAGGTGTAAGAATTGTTGATTCTGGAGATAGTAGTTGTTGTTAGGTGCTGTGGAGTCAAGTACAACTCATAGTGACCCTATGAACAACAGGTCTGAACCCTATCCTATTGTGTACCATCCTCATACTTCCTGAAACATTCAAGTCCATTGCAGCAGTCACCGTGTCAATCCACTAGTAGCGGGTCTTCCTCTCCTTTGTCACATCATGTCCCTCTCCAAGGAATTGCCCTTCCTACCAACATGCCTGAAGTGTGTAAGGTGAACCTTTGCCTCCAAAGAGCACTCTGGGTTCACCCTCTTAAAGACATATTTGTTTGTTCTTTTGGCTGTCCACAGGATGGTCAATGCTATTCTCCAGCACCACAGCACAAAGGCATCAATTCTTCTTCTGTCATCTCTATTCACTGCCCAGCTCTCAGATGCCTAGCAAGTGATTGGAAAGACCCTGGCTTGAATAAGACGCACCTTAGTCAGTGGTGACAATGATAGTAACAAACTGTATGTGTGTGTTCTATTGAGTAGGGCTTTCTTGTTGTGTATAAGGTCACCAGAAGTTGGAGCCCACCCACTGGCACTTATCAACAAGCTGATTAGGATCTTTAAATGTATTGTTTCACTTTATCCGCACAACAAACCTAGGAAGTAGATAATATTATCATCCCACTATAATGAACAGATGAGCAAGAGCCTATGGTGATGAAGGAGGAAGTTCAGGCTGCTTTGAAGGAAATGGCAAAAAATAAGGCTCCAGGAATAGATGGTATACCAATTGACATATTTCAGTTAACAGATGCTGCCATGGATGTGCTCACCAAGTTGTGCCAAGAAATCTGGAGAACAACTACTTGGCCAACTGACTGGAAGAGATCGATATTTGTTCCTATCCCAAAGAAAGGTGACCCAATAGAATGTGGAAACTACAGAACAATATCATTGATTTCACATGCAAACAAGATTTTACTGAAGATTATCCAAAAACAACTGGAACAGCACATCAACAGAGAACTACCAGAAGTCCAGGCTGGGTTTAGAAGGGGTCATGGTACTAGAGATATTGTAGCTGATGTTAGATGGATCTTGGCTGAAAGCAGGGAATACCAGAGGAATGTCTATCTGTGTTTCATTGACTATGCAAAGGCATTTGACTGTGTAGATCATAACAAACTAGGGCTGACTCTGAGAAGAACGGGAATCCCAGAACACTTGATCGTTCTAATGCGAAACTCATACTTGGACCAGGAGGCAGTCGTCAGAACAGAGCAAGGGAACACTGCATGGTTCAAAATTGGGAAGGGCGTACGCCAGGGATGCATCCTATCTCCATACCTTTTCAACCTATATGCAGAACAGATTATCCGGGAGGCTGGGCTCTATGAGGAGAAATGTGGGGTCAAGATTGGCGGATGATTTATCAACAACCTGCGTTATGCGGATGACACAACCCTGCTTGCTGAAACTGAAGAGGGCCTGAAGCGCCTGCTGCAGAGTGTCAAGGACTGCAGCCTACAATATGGATTGAGGCTCAATGTCAAGAAGACAAAGATTCTCACCACTGGACCAATTGGCAGCATCAGGATGGATGGTGAAGAGATTGAGATTGTACACAGCTTTAGTTTGCTTGGCTCCATAGGCACCAGCAGCCAGGAAATTAAAAGGCGCATTGCCATGAGAAAGTCTGCTGTTAGGGACCTCTCCAAAGTACTGAAGAGCAATGGTGTCTCTCTGGAGACTAAGGTGCGTCTGATACAGGCCATGGTCTTCACAATCACTTGTTATGCATCAGAGAGTTGGACAATGACCAAGGAGAATACAAGGAGAATTGATGCCTTTGAGCTGTGGTGCTGGAGAAGAGCATTGAGAATACCATGGACTGCTAGGAAAACAAACAGATTTGTCCTGGAAAGGCTTAAACCGGGTGGCTCCTTGGAGGCAAGGATTCTGAGGCTCCGTCTAACATACTTTGGACATGTTGTGAGGAGAGACCGGTCCTTGGAGAGGGACATCATGCTTGGGAGGGTGGAGGGACAGCGCAGGAAAGGAAGGCCCTCTATGAGGTGGATTGATTCAGTGACTGGGATAATTGGGATGGGGGTGTCGGAAACAGTGCGATTGGCACAGGACAGAGCGGAGTTTAGGGCTGTTGTACATAGGGTCGCTATGAGTCGCAAGCGACTCGATGGCACATAACAACAACAACATAATGAATGAAGATCAGCACTTGACTGTGAATTTGTTTTACTTCAGGGTGGCTTGTGTATAGCTGTGATACTGGAAGGTATGCCACTAATATTTCAAATACCAAATGAATCAACATGTTGGATCATCATTTGATGATGTGGCCACACACAAAATGAAAAGAAACAGTGGCAAACATCCATTAATAAGAATATGGAATGTATTAAATAGAAATATAAGAAAACTGCAAGTTCTCAAAACTGAAATGGAACACATGAAGATTGATATTGTAGGTATTAGCTGAAATGGACAGGTATTGGTAATTTTGAGTCAGATAATCATATGGTCATATCTGGAAGTCATATACTGGAAATGGCAATTGAAGAGAAATGGCATCACACTCATCATCAAAAAGGACACTTCAAGACCTATCCTAAAGTACAGTGCTGTCAATGATTCAATAATATATAGATAATATCTATATGCAAAGAGCAGGTAAAGGTAGTTCTAGAGGACAAATATTATCATTAAATCCTTGGAGTTAGAAAGTTGGGACGTTGGAAAGGTTGGAGTTAGGAAACCAAAAGGGAAGAGCATGCTCAGCATTTCTCAAGGTGAGTAAACTGAAGGTGCTATTCTATGGGCAAAACAAAGAGTGGTGATGACGTGGTCTACAGGGAGTTGCAGTACTCACCCAAAGCCTGCTCCTCCCTGGTGGTTAGAATCCAAGGAAGAAAGTAGGATAGTCTCCTCCTTTGTGATTTCTAGCCCAACAGAGGGTCAGCTATGAGTTGGTTCCAAATTGACAGCAAGACAAAGAAACAAAAAGAAAATGGGCAAAATATCAAATCATACAGGAAGAAGCATGGAAAGAAAACTAGAAGTAACATGCACTGTACCAAAATGAGGGAAGCCAACTATCAAATTTAATAATAGTAGACCAAATGCTGTATCGGGAAATGAGGGAAGCTTAATACAAGCTGAAGGTCACCTTGTGGTACTGGGGCGTTCCCTAAGAGTCAACATTGTTCTTAGTTAGTGTCAAATGAATCCCTCCCTCTTGAGATTAGCATAAAGAGGAACTTGCCTTATCTGTAAAAGACTGTACCATTCTCCTTTGTTTTTGCTTTGTACTTCCTTGTGATTTTACTTTGCTTACCTTCCTTATGATTCTAAATAAATACTCAGAGAAGCATGGCTTGGGGCCTTCAGTCATCAGAACTGTTGGCCCCCTGTTTTTCACACTCTGTGTTCTATATCATTCCTGGTAGTCTGTCTCATTATTAATAATTATAAAATTATTTCATTCTTTGGGACCCTCGGTCTGCAACACCAAAAAGCACTGATTGACATTCATACGTTTCAGGAAGCAGCATATGTCAAGAACCAATGATATTGAAGGAAGAAGTGTAAATTGTGTTTTAAGGTATTGGTGAAAAACAAGGTTTCAGAAATCGGCAAAGTACGAGTTGAGATGTTTCAACAAACCCTGCAAGTACTCACTCATCTATGCCAAGGGGATACTGTTTAGTTTAACTTCAAGAAAGATGTCAGAATTCTTTCTTTTCACCATGCTTGTTCAATCTGTATGCTGAGCAGATAATGCAAAAATACCGGCTATCTGAAGAACTGGGCATTATGAGTGGAGAGAGAATCAACAACTTTCAATCTGCAAATGGTGTCACTTTGCTTGCTGAAAATGAAGACTGATTAAAGCCCACAGCCTTCAGAATTGATTACATCTCAACATCAAGAAAACAAAAATCCTCTCAACTGGACTGATAGACAACATCATGATTGATGAGGGAAAAAACCCTGAAATTGTCGAAGACTTTCTTTCACTTGAATCCACAACCCTTGGAAGAAACCCTTGGATTTCTTGATTTAGTCAAGAAATCAAGCAGCATATTGCATTGGGAAAATGTGTGCAAAAAATCTCTTTAAAATATCAAAACACAAAGATAATCACTTTTAGGACTCAGTTACACTTGACCCTAGCCCCTGCTAGGTATTTTAAATGACTTCATGTGCATGTGAAATATGGATAAAAAAATAAGGAAGCCAAAAAAGGGAGTTGATGCCTTTGAATCAGCCTTTGTAAGTAGAGGTCAGGGAACTCTGGTGGCCTAGAGAGGATAAGAAGCTGTGCTGCAATCCCAAATGAATGTGGTTCAAATCCACTAGCTGGAAAAAAATCCACTAGCTGCTCTGCAGAAGAATGGGCATTCTGTTGCCTCTGAAAACCAGCTGGAGGTTCAGCCATGGGTCAGTTTCAACTCTATTACACACAAAAACAACAGAGGTCAGTTAAAAAGAAGATGACTTTGAACAAGATAGATGTGATTCAGTGGTCACAACCACAGGTTTGCACATGGCAAAGATTGTGAGGCTGGCACAGACCACGCAGGGCTTCCCCCTGTTGTGAACGCGGTCGTGATGAGCCTGTGCTGACCTCATGGGACCCGACAACATCATAGATGAGGGATTGAGGCCTGTTGTTGTTGTTGTTGTTGTTGTTTAATGCCGTCGAGTTGTAGATGACTCATAGCGACCCTATGAATGAACAGCCTGAGCACTGTTTGTACATAGAGTTTCCGGAGGCAAGCCATCTCAGAAGTGGATGCGCTCCTGCTTCCAGGCTTGATTTAGTCGGGAAGTTCCAGCCAACACTGTCCACCATGGGTGCCCATTACCATGATTGGCACATCACTGTCACAGGCTTCAGCATCACAGCAACCACGAGTTACCGATTGAGGCCTAGAGAGGCTTTCTTTTGCATCACTTTCCAAAGGTGTTACACCTAGCAAGGGGTGGCGTAGATGTCCAGAATGAAAAAAATGTACATCTTGACAACTTTGTAATAGAAACAAAGTGGAGAGACACCCCAGTGTTGTTTATGCCATTGCATATTTTCCTTTCTTCTTTCACTGGTGGATAGTTTGAGAACAAAACCACACGCTTGTCTTTTTAGTCAAAGTTATGGGGATGGAGGAGAGAAGAATGTGCTTCACACCATCTTCACCCTGATGCGTGCCTCTGAGGCCATCATTTGAGTGCCAAATTTTCATCAAATTAGGTCATCTCGGATTTAGAATGAACCATTTTGTACACTGTGACCTATTTAAACTTTCCTCTCTAAAACCAATTTTCTAAATATTTCATGCCATATATTTTTTGTCTCTTTTTATTTTATTTTATTTTATACTGGTTTACTTACAAAGTTTGTATACATTGTTTTTCACACTGGATCTCTCTCATTTCCTTAACTAGCCCCCTCTTTCCATTAAGTTGTGTGATCCTCACCTCTGTGTTCTCCCCCTCCCCTCCCTTGGATCATCATACACATTTTACTAGTTATCTATTTCTACAATAATTGCCTTACACAGTATTTGACCTTATAGGACTGAGTTAGTTCACTTAGTCATGTCATATATGTATATATTTTTTATTGATTTTCATATCATGCCATATATTTTTGAAATTAATTTTAATGAAAGTTTACAGAGACTTAGGGTTTCCAGTAATTCATTGTTGCACTTTTCTCCCTGCATGTCATATATTTTTAAAACTATTTTCCTACCTCAAGATGAGATTTTTCTTTTTAGTTTTAACATCTCTGTTTTTAAAATCTCATCTTTGGAAACATCCCTGCTCATTAAGAAATATTTCAACAACCACAACGATTTAAGTCCTGCTCCTCTGTCTCCTGGTGTGGGGGGAGTGTCACTTTTGCAGAAGCACCTAAAACTTGAATGTCTCGTAACTGGCTCTCTTCTGGTTTTCATTTTTTTCCAGCCACACTTTATATCTTTTAGCAGTTTCTGCCCAACATGATAAAGGTACAGCTCCCAGGACACAGGGTTCCTGTTACTAAATAATGAAAGAGAAGATTTTTTAAAGCCTATTTCTTCACTTTAAAGTTTTTAGTGCTTTCCTTTTTAAAGATTTCATTGGAAAAGTGATACGTGTAAAATGTAAAAATTTCCACTAGTAAAATATATCCTTTCTCCTCTTCCAGTCTTCTCATCCTCTTCTGTGAGCAATGTAAACAGCTCAAATGCCCATTTCCCCTACTTTAGTTAGAGCATGGAAATTTCCATTAAAATATGTAATTTTCTCTTGCTTTCTGTTTCCTTAGACCATTTTGTATTTTTTTACTCTTCAACTAGCTTTTAAAAAGATCTTCTATCTAGCTTGCTTGGCCAATAGCTGAGGCTGGAACCAGCTCCTGAACTCTAAGGTATAATATGGGAAGTGTGTTTCCACTCAAGTGAGCATTTCTTTCTTTCTTTCTTTCTTTCTTTCTTTCTTTCTTTCTTTCTTTCTTTCTTTCTTTCTTTCTTTTTAAATTTTTTAAAAATTATTATTATTTGTGTGTGTGTGTACCATCAAATCGGATCTGACTGGTACAGGAGGAAACTGTCCCTCCTTCTCCAGCAGAGCATCTGGTGGATTTGAACTGCTCACCTCTGGGATTGCAGTGCAGCTTCTTGCCACTAAGCCACCAGAGCTTGCCTCAAGTAAGCATTTCTGTCTAGTCTCGGTGGGGGCCCAGCTATCTAGTAAATGACTGTCCAGTGAAGGGTCTGGTGGTATTAGGCTGGTGGGCCTCCCTCCTGATTTGCTGAGCCTGAAGACCCAGAGCCTGAGCATCCCTGACTCCTAATTTGCTCCTCCTTTATTCTCAGCTTCCACACAGAGGGACTGAGTCCACCACTGCTCCTCCTCGTAGCACAAGAAGATTCCCAAATCTAATATAAGCACTGTGCACATCCACCGAGCATTTACCATGTGCCACACACAGACTTTCATCACCCAAGCAACCTTACAAGATGACACTCTCATTATCCTCCTTTTACAGACGAGGAAGCGGTCACAGAGGAATTGAAGTCATTTGTCTAAGGTCACTCAGCTAGTAGTCACCAGACCTGTCACTTGATCCTTGGCAGTCTGACTCAAGATGTTCGCGTTAACCATGTCCGTTATGTGTAGGGGAATTCTGAGCTTTGGCGAGTCTATCATTCTCAGCTCTGGCAGCCTGAGATTCCCCTCCACTCCATAGCCATCCCAGGGTGAGAAGCTACCACATCATCTAGCTCCATCTAATGTGTACCTGTTTTCTGCTCCTTCATTGCCCTGCAGGGAAGGGCATGAATGGTACCAGATGCGCCAGGCTCTGAACCAGCGGATATTGAAGCCAGCAGATGCTGCACTCTATACTCAGTCTATGAATGAGGTGATCAATGACCTTCTGACTCGGCTGGACCAGATTCGGGCCGAGAGTGCATCAGGGGACCATGTACCCGATTTGGCCAACCTCTTCTACCACTTTGCCTCAGAAGGTAGCCCTTCTGTGAAGAGGGGGCTGGGGGTGGGAATGGGCAGAGGTGGTTTGTTGGCTCCCTTCCCTTGAGGCCCCCTGGATCCCGCCTGCCATGGCACTGCCATCTGGCATAACCTCTGTACCATATGCTGGCTCTTTGCTTCTTCCCAGCTATTTGCTACATCCTGTTTGAAAAACGTATTGGCTGCCTGGAGCCATCTATCCCCGAAGACACGTTGGCCTTCATCAGGTCGATTGGACTTATGTTCCAGAACTCTCTGTATGCCACGTTCCTCCCCAAATGGACTCGTCCCCTGCTACCCTTCTGGAAGCGATACCTGGATGGCTGGGACACTATCTTTGCCTTCGGTGAGGAATCCCAAGGAAGGGCCAGAAAAGGAAGTCGGGAGTGGGCCCAGCATTTGAGCATTACTCACACCTCATACTACATCAATCATCAGTCTTGGCCTTGTCTTCCCATCTTCCGTTGTCCCTGCAGGAAGGAAGCTGATTGATCAGAAATTTAAGGATGTGGAGGCTCAACTGCAATTAGGGGATCCAGCTGGGGTCCAGGTATCTGGCTACCTGCACTTCCTGCTGACCAGTGGACAGCTCAGTCTTCACGAGGCCATAGGCTGCCTGGCTGAGCTGCTCATGGCTGGAGTGGACACGGTGCGTGAGAGGGCCCAGTGAGAAGACCAGGGGCTCTCAGCTTCCATCCTGAACCAATCCCCCAGCCTCCCCCACCTGCTTTTGACCTTCATCCCTACAGGTATCTGTGACTCTTTTTTTGTAACATGGATATAGAACTAGAAGGAAAGCAGAGAGGTTATTTGGAGCACCCGAGGCAGGCAGGCGATGGTCTCAGGGGTATTCCATCACCTCCTACAGCCTCCTCACTCTTTGACAGCCAGGAAGTGGAATCTCACATCTAATCCAAGTATCTCTTGCTGTAACTTAAGACCATTTTTCTTCAGTTGATTCTGGGCCGAGTGGAGCTTGTCTGTGAGAATCTCCTTTCTCTGACCCGTTTCTCATCCTCTTGTCATGTGGGGTTTCTCTTGGGTCTCCTCCTATTGCTGCGTGCTGTTCTCCATCATCCTAGTCTTTGTTCTTCTGTAAATCATGTCTAGTGTGGAGGTCCCCATGAGCCCCGTCTTTTTCTACCATGCTTGTGGCACATTCGTTTTCCTCCTGCATTTTGTATGCCCTCACCCATACTTTACTGCCGCTCCCCTGCTGACCTCTTTCCTAGAAATGCCCCCTCACTCACACTCACCTCTCTCTCTCTCCCTCAGACATCTAACACCCTGACATGGGCCCTCTACCATCTGTCTAAAAGCCCTGAGATCCAAGAGGCCTTGTATAAGGAGGTGGTGAACGTGGTGCCAGCTGGGCAGGTGCCGCAATACAAAGACTTTGTTCATATGCCTCTGGTCAAAGCTGTGATTAAGGAGACCCTGCGGTAGGATGCTGTTCTCATGGGCAGAGGGTCTCTGTGTGGGAGGAGTCAGACATAAACAGGGCAGAACTACCAGTGGGCAAGGTTTCCACTGGTTACAGTGAGCAGGACATCACTATGTTTACTTGCTAATCCCTAAGTGAGCAGTTTTGCATGATTTTGACACATCTCTGACAGGGTGGGGAACAGGTGCAATTGTGAACTACAGGTTGGTGGGAAGGCATGACTGGGCCCATTGTTTATTGGTCAATTTGGCCCCTATTGGGTAATCTCAGATGGGAGGAGGGGCTTGTGGGGCTGGGGTTCGGGACCAGAGTAAGAAAGGGGACTGGGAACCAGAAAAGTGGGGGCATTCTGCCTCTCCCTGGATCTGGGAGCAGACCTTAGATTTCTTTTCCCCTGCAGTCTCTATCCTGTGGTCCCCACAAACTCCCGGGTCATTGTCGAAAAGGAAGTTGAAGTTGGTGGCTACCTCTTCCCCAAGAATGTGAGTGGGACCCCAAGAATGTGAGTGGGAGTTGGGAGCCTAGATTCCCAGGTGTGTTTTCAGACTGAAAGCTGATAAGCTGCCCATGCTTTCTCTGCAGACCCAGTTTGTATTCTGCCACTATGTGGTGTCCCGGGACCCTGACATCTTCCCTGAGCCTGAGCGCTTCGAGCCCCGTCGCTGGCTGAGGACTAGCCAGCCTGATGCCCTGGGCGCCAGCCACCCATTTGGCTCTGTGCCCTTTGGCTATGGGGTCCGGGCTTGCCTGGGCCGCAGGATCGCTGAACTGGAGATGTACTTGGTGCTAACAAGGGTGAGTGGAGGAAGAGCCTGGAGGGGTGATTGGACAAGGAGCAGAGAAGGAGACCTCAGGGAGGAGAAGAAAAGGAACAGTGTGCTGGGGACAGGGCGGTGGTGGTGCAGTGGGTGGAGATCACAGACTTAAACTGCTTCCTCTGTGCTTTCCACCTCCCAGCTTATCCAGAAGTACGAGATCATGCTGGCCCCAGAGACAGGGGAGTTGAAGAGTGTCTACCGCATCGTCCTGGTTCCCCACAAGAAGGTGGGCCTGCACTTTGTACCAAGACAGGGCTGAGTCGTGGCTGTGTCTCAGACCATAGAGGAAGAGGCAGGTTGGAGGAGCCCAGAGCACTGAGGTTTTGTCACTTTCGCCTGTTTTGATCATCTCTCTGTCCGATAAAAGCCTTTGCTTGCCAATTTTGCTATTCTTAGGGGAAAAGTGGAATAAAGGGATTTTTCTTGCTTATAGGGGCCCTTTGTCATTCTTTTTGGCTACACAGTGTTTTAACTCCTTTCTGTATCAGGGAAACATTGCCTCTCCACTTTGGTGGGAAGCAGAGGTACCTCTTCCCATGGAAACAGTACAGGATGTCATATGCCCACCCAGACCTCCCAGGATGACCTCTGCTTCACATGAAGCTGACTAAGGCCTTGCTGGAGCTCAAACTGCACAACAATTCCCAGGCACTGAATCCAGCAGGTGTTCACTGACACAATAGAAACACTCTCTTATAGATACTCTCTTAGGGAGAGGAAATGGGTTGCTTTTAGAATGATTGAAAGGCTCCAGGCTAGGCTCATAGGAATAACTCCTGGAACCCCCTCAGGGCTCTGACAAGTCTTGGGTCACCACACTGGCTACAATTAGGAGGATGAGAGTTTGGGAATCTGTATACTGAGCAAATCATTGGAGAGGCTGGATAATATGAAGAATGTGGTATAAGAACTAGAAGAAGATTCATCAACATTATTATGCAGTATTATGTGGATGACACAACCTTGCTTGCTGAAAATGAAGAGAACTTGAAACATTTGCTGCAGAGAATCAAAGTCTACAGCTTTCAATATGGATTACATCTCAACACCAATAAAACAAAAAAATCCTCACCACTGGGTCAAGAGACAACATCATGATAAAGATTGAAATTGTCAATGATTTTCTCTTGCTTGGATCCACAATCAAAACTCTTGGTTCTGGCAGGAAAGAAATCAGAAGACATATTAGATTGGGAAAATCTGTTTTCAAGGACCTCTCCGAAGTGCTAAAGAGCAAGAATGTCAGTCTAAAGACTAATGTGTGCCCAATTCAAGCCATGGTGTTTTCAATTACTTCCTGCACATCTGAAAGTTGGACAATGAGTAAAGCTGACAGAAGAAGAATCAATGCCTGTCACCTTGTTTTTTAGAATAAACACCTTTAATCCATGTGCTAAAATGGGAGGGAGGAGATTTATTTGCCTTTCTGTGCCTTGATTTTCCTCAGAATTCCAGCTCCTTGCCCTCTAGCATTTAGCCATCTGCATGGGTCACTGGCCTGGCCTGGAAGCGATACATGAAAAGAAGTTTGCCTTATTGTGATTTCTCTTCTAGAAGACTGCTGATTTTTGCATTCTTTTTCCTTTCATCATATTTTTTCTGAAATGTCTTTGATCGCTTTTTGTTGAAAATATCTTCCTCTTCAGGAGTCAGGTTGGCCCCCTTCTTGTGACCCAGGGGCAGTGCATAGTGGGACTTGTACCACTGGCGGAACGGTGTGCTGTCAATGAGCACGATGCAGTTCTTCACTAGGGTCTTGGTTTGGACCAGCTCATTACTGGAGGCGTTGTAGACAACTTCAATCATCCTTGTTTTGCAAGTACAACATTCAGAGCCCCTGGAGAAGTTCCCCACACCCAGTCTTAGGGCACGGCACTTCTTGTTGCCTCCTCTCACACAAACTGTGTATAGGGCGGGGGCCAACCTTAGTGTTGGCAGCCGGGAGTCCCAGCTCATACTTCTGCTTCTTGTGGCAGGGCTTTCTCCTGCCCCCGGTCTTGCAGCGCTTGTGCCAGGTGTCCCAGGAGATGCCCATCGCACCGTGCTGCCCGGAAAGAGCAATGCCTGTCATATTTAAACCCAGCTCACAGAACCATTTGTCATGTCCAAGGTCAGATAGCTTGCTCATTGTGTTAAATATTAGGTCTGAAGCAATCAGTCAATGGCAGATGTTTAGGTTCAGTAGCCAGTTGGAAAATAGATGAAGAGCCGAGGAGTAGGATGCTTAAACATCACGTTTATTCTGGCTCTCGTGCAGATTGCAAGGAGAAGACACACTGTGAGCTGCTACAGGGAACTTTCCCATCAAGTTCTTATAGTTCTTAGGGGAAAAAAGGTGGCTCTATGTCACATTTGCATACTAATCACTAACCTCATCACTGCATGCACCTGCATGGTTACACATTGGTGATTCAGCACAGTACTGCCTTGCTTGCTCAGACATGGCTGCAGCCTGGCTAAAACTGTTCATTGTATATAGGGCACATTACAGTTTAGCACAAATCTGCCTGCTGGGTATACACAACACATTGCAGTCCCCAGCAATGCTTTTGAGTTGTTGTGTTGGAGAAGAGTTCTGAAATACCTCATGGACCACCAAAAGAGCAAATGTGTCTCAGAGAAAGTGCAACCAGGATACTCCTTAGAGGCAAGGATGGTGAAACTTTGTCTCACATACTTTGGGCATGTTGTTAGGAGAGAGCCGTCTTTGGAAAAAAGACGTCATGCTTGGATGGATTGACACAGTGACTGTAGCAATGGGCTTGAGTGTATCAGAAATGATGAGGGTTGTACAGGATAGAGCAGGGTTCAGATTCTTTGTTCATAGGGTTGTTATGAATCATAGTCAACTACTCACTGGCACCTAACAACATTGCTACAATGGGCTCTAGAGCTCTCCCATGTCTCCTCATGTGCTGACGAAAAATAAAAAAAGAAGTCTTCATCCTGCTCTTGACACCCAGGAGGCCAGTAGTAACTGGACTTGGATCTCTGCTAACACCCCTGACGTCAGAAGCAGGGCCTCTGCCTCACCTCTCAGCTCTCTCCTGATGGGGCCCCGAGTGACGACTGGACCTCTGGCTTCAAAGGAGTGTGCATGCGGATTTCAGTTTTTAGTTTTCTAGCCTCTGAAGCACAAGAAGTCTGTTGTTATTGTTGTTATATGCCATCAAGTCACCTGTGACTCATAGCGACCCTAGGTAAACTAGCTATGAACTCTGCTTTGTCCTGAGCTGGTGTCTGTTTCTGACACCTCTAAACCCATTACCTCAGTTACTGTGTCAACCCATCTCATCTGAGGTCTTCCTCTCCTGCACGGTCCTTTCACCTTTCCAAGCATGATATCCTTCTCCAGGGGTTTTGTCACTCCTGAACACAAACCCAAAGTATGTGAGACGGAGCCTCAAAATCCTTGCCTCCAAGTTATAGCCTGGTTTCACCCTGTCGAGGATAAACCTATTGACAGGAAGTCTACCAGCAGGAAAGTGGATTGTGGGCTGGTGATGTGCTCCTGTACTCTGTATCACCAGCCTGAACCCTCAGCAAATGCCAGCCCCATGGGTCCTGGCCTTAGCAATAAGTCTCAGTTGAGTTGGGTGCTAGTGAGCCAACGATGACTAATAGAGACCCTGTGATTAACACATTGGAACCTGTGCCATCGTGATGATCTCTGTCATGCTCAACTCCATTGCCGTGCTCACTGTGTCAATCGGTCTCATTGAGGGTCTTCTTTTACTGACTGACCTTGTACTTTCTGCTGAGTTAAAGGAAAATAACATTGGATTTCTTCTGCCTGTGAGAATTTGGATTTATGAACCCATTATGAATCATGTCACTACCTTATCAGATCATTCAATGGCTTCCCTCAGCCTTCTTGCACCGTTACCAACACTAGCAGCCCCCACCCGTTTCCCATAGCTGAGCCTGAACTCCTTGCAGTTCCCTGAGCTCATTATGCTTTTTCTGGCCTCAATACTTTGTACTTGGTGTTCCTCTTCTTGGAACATGCTCTTGACCAACTGTCATGTCATCCCAGAGAACTTCCTCTTCCCTAGGACACAGCTCAAATGTCACTGCTTCTGCGAAGCCTGAAGCCTCCGCTGACCTCTCTGGGCACTCCCAGGCACTCCCTGTGGTGCCCTCCTCTGGCCCCTGACACTTTACACTGTCACCTTGTTGCGGACAATCTCCCCAGTAGCAGTGACCACCCTGGAGGGCACAAACTGTGGTTCTTTCTCTTTGGATCCCAGCATCGACTTCTTGTCCACCACCTGTTGTTATGAGGCTCTGCCAAGTGCTCTCTCTGACTCATAGTCACCCTCGGTACCTGGGTTGTGAACCCTCCTCATAGCCTCTGTAGTGCGTAAGCCCACTGCTTCAGTCACAGTGTTTGTCCATCTGGTTGAGGGTCTCTCTCTTTCACTGACTCTACACCTTTCCAACTTTCTCCAGGAAATGACCTTTCCTGATAACATGCCCAAGGTATGTGAGCTGAAGCCTCCCCACCTAGAGATTATTCCTTGAATGAGGACAGTCTGGAACAGAAGGGAAAAGAAATGGGAGAAGCTATATCCACAACCAGACCCACTGCCCTGTGTTAATTCCAGACCAACTCACAGTAACCCCTCAGGATGGAGTAGAACTGTCTCACAGGGTTTCCAAACATTTCTGTATTGGATAAAAAGAACCTGGAAGGAATGTTGAAGAATTCATGATTCTAAGGCTCCCAGCCCCACCTGTGTAGTGAGTTCACCTGGAGAGCTCCTGATTGATGCAGGGTTTGGGGACTGGTCCAGAGGAGAACAGAAACTCTACCAAAGAGTCAACCACAGAGGAGACTTGAATTCCAGGAGGAATTCAAGCATGCTTCAGCCCGGCAGGGTTGACCTACTGAAATCACATGCACTCTTGACGCTGGCACTTGGGGCTGGGGAGAAGTCTCCATGATGTTGTTTGAGACTAGGTTTTTTAGCAGCTGTGCAAGAATGTCAGTGTTCATAATCTACAGCCTAGTTAATCAATTACAGGCTAATCTTGTATAAAACAACCAAAAACAACCTATGACGATTTATTATATTCGTGCAATGGGAAAACATTCAAGCACAGAAAAGAAGTGAGAAGTCCTGGTTGATGTGACTTTCATGGATAAACCTTGAGAATATGATGCCAAGTGAGAGAAGTCCTACACAAAAGTCCCCTTATTGTATGACTCCATTTTGATACGCCTTCAGCTGCTTAACCAAAAAAGGGCAGTGGTTC